ATTTGGAAAAACTATTACAAATTTTTGACTTGTCGAACGCACCTATTATATGAGCGCTCTCACACATAAACCGATAACCGTACCGATATCACATATACGTATATTTTTATCCACTGCTTTACNATTACAAATTTTTGACTTGTCGAACGCACCTATTATATGAGCGCTCTCACACATAAACCGATAACCGTACCGATATCACATATACGTATATTTTTATCCACTGCTTTACATAAACGAGCAAAACAAAATCTTTGTTGCCCCTTATTGAGAAACTTGGGTCCGGTTTAGTTATTTGTACAAGGATTTCCGGTTGTTGTGTCCAAACGCATAACCCGAGTCCAAAAACCTTAACATGCACGTGTAATCAAAGGATTCACATTTTATTTAAGGTAAATGTTTCAAATTTCGNCCGAATCCAAAAACTTTAACATACACGTGTAATCAAAGGATTCACATTTTATTTAAGATAAATGTTTCAAATTTCCGGTGTGACATGCACAAAAAATGTTGTATACCTTTGACATGCGGAAGCCCTTCCCCGCAACACAGAAAGGAAATTCTATTTAGTAAGGGTTATAATCCCTAAGCGCGACCGAAGGCAGAAGCATGCACAACAGGTGGTGGACCTAACAAAGTGCATGTTTTCAATGGCTTGGAAGAAGCTGGATTGAGAACCAGAGCTTCAGGCATAGGAGGAGTTCTGGCTTGTAGTTCAACAATTCAACCAGAAGCTGACATAGATGCGCCCATGGTTACTATGCCCGACAGCTCCGCATACCTTTGTGAATCCATTGCCATAGCGCCCGCTTACTCTGCTGCTCTAATTGCAAATACATCAGAATCCATAATTTTCCTCAAAATATGTAAAATTAACCAATTTTACAATAAACAAGCACATGATGAGTGTTTTTTTAATTCCTTTCTACTTTGTTTTTCTTCATTCAGCTATCTTCGAAAAACAACTGATAGCTGGCAATGCTGCACTTGTTTCTGCAAGGGTTGCAGCATGTGGATTTTTCGTGTTTCGTAGCGTAGCTACGAATTACGAATTACGAAAATTCGGGTTCTAGAATAAGGGGGTAGATTTGTGTGTACAAATACGGTCGGCAAATAATCTGGTTAAGTGTTCGCATCAGTTCGGACGGTCAAATTGTTCGGAATGTACCGGAATGATTCAGGTTTTACTCAACCAAGGGCTGTTGTTTCGGCGATCTAACCCCGTTTAAGTCGGTGAAATATCCTAGACGTTGTTCGTCCACAGGGCTACATCTGCTAGGAATTTTTCTGCTCAGGGCTCGAGCTAAATCCTGGGCCAGAAACTTACACCTTCTGTGTACCACAACTCCTCAGTCAAGTGCAATGCTTGCAACGGCTGATACATTAACACAACACAATAGACCAAACAACGACATACCACATAACAGACACAACTGCACCACTACCCGCACGCCTCCCCCAACAGCTGGTTCCTCGAACAATCTGCACGGTGCGTCAGACTAGGATATCCGTAATGTGACATCAGTGAAGTGCATCACTTGCCTTGGCCGGTGCCACTTCAGGGCATGTTCAGGTCTGCGCACCACGCGAGATTGCACGAGGAACTTCGAGAGCCAGTGTTGCGCTGCACGGTTGCAAGCTCCAATTAGGACGCCACCCACAACCACCACAGGGCAGCACCTCCCAAAGCAGCGCACACAGCCTATGGCGGAGCAAGATCGAGGAGAAAACCGTCTTAATGGGAAGGCATGGAATATTGATAGCTGCGGTCCAAGGGACGAAGTTGCACAGCAGTTCAACATTGTTGAATTGCGCCGGATACAATCTGCACCGTCGAGATCGCGAGCGAGATAAGGGTGGTGGCCTAGCGTTCATCTACCACCACACCGTGCGGTATCGTCCCATCGAAGCAGACATCGATCGCAGGGATACCATCCTAGAATGTCAGGGCATTGCTATCCGTTCAGGCGATGCTGAGCTCGAAATATTTAACGTTTATATACCCCCTGTCACCAGCTGCCTGGCAGGATATCACCCTGAAATAGCTGCGCTCCTCAGAGGTTAAAACCGTATGGTAGTTGGTGATTTTAATGCGCACCACAATCTTTAGCATTCAAGCTTGTCAAATGATCGTAGGGGAACATACTTGCCGGAGCAAGTAGACGATTCGACATTCTGCACAATGCACCCACCCACCAGGATTATGCGGTATAACAATAGTCAGCGCTGGTCCGAAAAACAGCATATCAAGGCGACCCATGCTGACCTTCGCATCAGACCATCTGCCCATAGTCATCTCTATCGATAAACCTGTCGACTTTGTTTCCGCGGAACACCGGACCTTCAACGGTGGGGTTACGCCACCGGAGCCAGCCTCCGCCAAACGGCATCGGGAGCATTTGCCGCCTCTGGCATCGTGGTCAAGGAGCCTAGTTAATCATGCGAGCTATGGACAGCCACGGGAGGAAACGACTCAGCACCCCAGCTACTAGCTGACTAGCCTGCTGCTGCCCTGTGCTCTGGGGACTTGACCAGACTTCAAGAGGCCATTATGGACAAGGTCCTCAAAGGGTGGATGCATCCTCTGGGGTTTGAGTGGGTGTACTTCTGGTCGCCGACTGCAAATACGAGCGGCAGAGAATATTGAGTGTTGGGAGGGGCCTGCGATACCAAGAGGGAAGATGACATTGGAGTGCTGAGTACGCGCTGCCGTATGGAAAGTTATTTAGTGCAGCCCTTAGGAAAATGGGCTCAGACTCAATCTGTGTATCGACGAGGAGTCATACGTTAGCATCAAAAGAGCCGGCTTCAACGTGGACTACGGGTCTTCACGGAGCCACAAAGCTGGGCATTAAAAAACATTTGTGTCATTACCTTAAAAAATAGTCATTGGGTACGTTCAGAAGGCGGAACAGCTTACTCACTGTTGCTATTGCATCTTCTGAACGCGCATTTTGCATCATAACTAATCCCCACTAATTGGAAGATATTTGCGTACAAAATTATAAGATATTTACATATGTATGGACATTTCTCAGTTGGCTTCTTGTTTATTGAACTAACTAAAAATATTGAAAAATCCGTATTATTACTCGTAAGTGTTCGTAAAATTAGATATGTATGTATAGTAGGTACGTATATTTTTAAAGCTTTCAATTTACAATAACTTACGCTAAAAATTTATGATTTATAAAAAAGTATAATTACTCATTTATTTACATCAGCAAATCACTTGTGGACTCAATTTAATCGTGTTAAAATACTCGTACTAGCACTATCGTTTGTATATTTAAACCATTATGCTATTTAAACTACTCACACTTTTTATAATACTTTTCTTATAAAATAAGAGTAATTTTATAAGGAAATTAACTAGATAAATTATGCTAGCGGATTTGCTATAAATGCACCCGAAAGAAGCACCATACTGCAGCATGCACATTTATAAGCACAAAATGTCTACTAGTAATGAAATCATTAACGTACGATTTAACTTATTATGTAAGTACATATTAGTTGCGTTCCCTAACTCGCAATAAGTTGCAAGAATTTGCAGGAATTTGCCAAAAAGCGTTCCCGTACTCGGTTCTCTGGCTTCTTTTGCCTTTTGACAGTTTTACAGGTTTTAATCCAGAAAAGTTGGGGAACGCAACTATTTATAGTGAAACGTTTTGAGTCCTAGCATTAGCGTTATTTATACATCACAACATACTTAACGCGTTCGTCGGACATCACACACAGGAGCAGGAAGACAACGGGCGCCTACTAAATATACTACACGCTCGTATTTGATACTGAATTGGCAATAGTCACCACTGTTATCGGTGTACTTGTAGCAGCTGCGGCGGCAGCACGCGATGTAGATGCCGCTCCAGTTGCCGCTGTCGCATTTCCTATTGGCCCCCCCACTGTAGCACCAACATTCAGCGTTTGAAGAGGAATAGCGGAAGAAGTCCCATTTGCAGTTGCTGCTGGATGTATCACACTTCGATCGATCTCCGAATAAGGCGGTACCGTCGTATCTGTGGTTGCAATGGAGGTGTTCGATGCGGTATATGGCGCTAGAGTTCCAGCCGCCGTTTGGGCTACGCTCATTGCCATTACTTGCTCATAGGTGGGCAAATCCTTTTCATCCTTCTCAAGTTGTGCTCGAATGCGTGCAGCATCTTCAGCGGCCGGGTCGACATAGAAGAAGTCACTGCATCGATGTGGCAATGTGTTGTTAGGCGCCTCATTGGCAATTGTGAATATGTTTCCTTGGCGATCTGGAATAGATAGATGTGGAGAGAGAGGAAAATGAGAATAAGTTGAAGTAATTTTCATATCGTCGAAAGGGTGGCTATTTAGTTATATGTATAAGAAAATAATAGAATAAAAAAACTTGCGGAGAAAAAAAACCAAAATAATTTCAAAATAGTGTACGCAGCTAATATTTCCACTCCGATATATTTACCTTTGCAGGTAATGGACAGATCTTTAGTAAAGTGTATCTGTACCACAAAACATTTTTTGTCTAAACCTTCGAAACTTTTTTCTTAAAGTCGAAAATCACTAGCTTTTAAGCATCAGCTATGAAGCTTTATCGAGAGTATAATACAAAAGCATAAAGCCCACCGTCAATGAACTGATAAGACCTTATCCATTATAGACCAGGTATTCACTATGCGCTAAATCTTGGAATGATCACGAGAAGAGGTTGACATACACCATACACCTGTTGGGTTTAAAGTCTCTTTCCTTAACAAAAAAATAAAATAAAAAATCAAACAAAAAGCGAAAGAGTAGTCCCTACGCGGGGAAGCAGTGAAACTTAACAAACACAAGTAATTTTTAGCAAAAAAAAAACCGACTTCAACTCTCATATAAAAAAAAATATATATATATATATTTCTCATTGATCCACTGATCGGATCTTAACCAGATTAGTATGGGACCACCTCTGAGACACTACCTTTCCGATGCAAAAAGAATTATCGAAATCGGTTGACGTGGTCCAAAGTTATGCGGTGGAAGTCGGTTAAAAATTCAATACCTAATGGAAAAAGTTAGCAATAAATTTTCTAATATACTATACATTAGACCACGTAAAAAAACTCCTGCAATGTGACCGCAATCTGACTTCGATATTAGTAATTGGTATGGTAATGATCCCCGGTCGCTGTGCTGTAGTGGTAAGCAGTTCAAAAAAAGGTAGTAAGTCCATTTTTTGAAATTGTTCAGGAGAGACGAAAAATCGATGTATGTAGTTTCTTCGAAACGAAATTCGCATTTTGTGTGCACAATTTACTGAAGCCTTCATTTTTCACTTAATTCACTCAGAACGAAAAATGACACTGAAGTTGGCACAACCCCGAAACCGGTTTGTTTCCAAACCAAATTTGACAAGGGATAACGGAAAATCGTTCCACAATACATCATACTCCTACCCTATCGGAAACACAAACAACCAAAAAGAAATTAATAAAAACTCGTTGAAAACAATTGTAAGGTTATACCAAAACAAACAAAAAAAAATCACAAGAAAAAACGCCCTATCACAAAAATTTTTCGATAACGCCCTATTTCAGAATTTTATTGAAAACACCCATATCTCAGAATTTGGTTGAAGAACCCCTATCTCGGCAGGCGACTCAAAAGCACCCTATCTCAGCACATTTTCATTGTATTTTCGTTTGAGATAGGGCGCTCTTCAACAAAATTCTGAGGTAGGGCCTTCTGGAAAAGTTTTCTGAGATAGGGCATTTTCAAACTGGCTTCCGAATAGGTCGATATTCCACTCAGTCATCGAAATTTTATAAAAAAAACTCACCAAAATTAAAAAAAAAAAAATGCAGTTTCTAGAAAAATGTTGGGTATGCAGTATCATAGTTCATTAAATTTTAGTATAATATTTGCAAGTGCTAAGTGGTCGCGTTGATTTTCAATCACTTTTTCGCTAACATTTCGAGCTCATATGCAGGCTAAATGGGAAATAAAAGCGTTTGTTATATTATACTAAAATTTAATGATCTAAAAAACTGCATACCCCAAATTTCTATAAAAATTAAAAAAATATAATTTTGGTGAAAATTATTTTCAACATTTAAAATTTTTTGATTCGTTTTGGGAGAATCCTACAATTATTTTCAACTAGTTTTTATTAACTGGAACAGGAGAATCGATTTTCTTCAAAATTGCTACTTTTTGTGCACTTTGCACTAAAAAATTTAATACAAACAAACAAAAAATCCAAAATCGGGCTCTGCTGGTCCTTCGCTATTTTATTAGCTTTCGTTAAAAGAAGATTATCAAATTAAGCAAAAAATTAAGGCTCCAGTGAATTGTGAACACAAAATGCCAACTTTGAACCACTGTACAGCGTGGTTTGCAAATATTAACTCTAGAGTACCCTAGTTTTCGATTCCACTAAACTCGTTTATGTTTCGTAGCACAGTTCCTTGAAAATGTATTTGTTTAATTGAATTTCCAATATTTAAGTTATAACAAAACCGCGTAACTTTTATTTTATTTTACTTAGACAAAATAGTGAAATAATAGAATAAGAAAAATTTGTTGACGATTGATGCCTGAAAATATAAAAAAAGTAAGGCGTAATACATATTAGTCGATTCGACTTAGAATAAGTATTTACGTTAAAATACCAAGTAAAAATAAAGTTTCTTTCTTACCACGCTCCGGTTCACTGCGTCTAGGCATTGCAAGCAAACGTAGTGTGACCTTAATTTTAAAGGAATCGAAAAAAAAACAAATTTTAGATAACCAAAATTTTATTGAAAAGCGCCAAATTTATTACGAACCACTAAAAATTGATATATTATAATCAATAACACAACGATAAGAAAATAAATAACGTAGTCCATGTTGGAAATCGCAAAAGATTTTAAATTTCATGTGAAATTTAATCAAAACTGATCAAAGGTAAAAATACGACTGTAAATTCATATCGGGATAGACATCGAATAGCAATACCTCAAATTGGTATTATCAAATCAAATTTCCAAAAGTTTCCACTCAAATCGATAGGTTTGTTTACATACGTCTGTGTGTAGGTGTAGTACCTTATAGCATGAAATGTGGCGCTTGATAAGCCTTTTTAAGTGCAAAATTTACAATAAATTTAACGCTTTCATTTCCTTCTAAATGCACCAGTTGCTTTCTATTTGTCTTTATTTTTATTTTTTTTTAAGAGATAAACGACGACGACAAAAAGTTAGAAAGTAGAACTCCATGCAGTTTGTTAGATTGAAAATCATATTTTCGTAATTAGCCGACAAAGATTGGTTACGAAAAACGCTAGTGGGCCTGTACACGGCTAATGGTTACAGAACCCAGTAGATAATTTCAGGAGTTGAAAGTCCTTCCTGAGAGTCAAGAGGCCTTCCACTCTACATTGCTTTCTCTTTTCTTTTTTGTATGGAGTTGCACAAATTGAAGGGCTTCTTCTTTCGCTACCCATGAAAGGCCTTAAGGAAGGGCTTTTATAGGACGTACTTCAGAAGGCCTTTTGGAGGAGTTCTTTTAAGGTTGCTTCTTTATAAAAATCATACATCTTTGCTTAAGGTTTATAACAAATATGTGTTATTGCAACTTAAAATTTTTATTTAAATTCATTTGTAAAGCTAAATAATATAATTTTATGCATTCGCGTAAATTGTAAAAGGATAAGCCTTTCTAGAAGGCATGCAAGGAAGCACTTTTTTCAGCCCTTCTTAGGTAGGCCTCTTAGAATGGCTTTACTTAAGAAGGCCTACCTAAATTATCTTGTATCACTTAATAGAAATGTACATAAATTATGTGCTTTGTGATGATTTGGTTCGAAAGCGACAATGATGGTATTGCTGGGGTCTATTTCCGCCAAAAAGGTGTCAAAACTTCGCAAAAGTGATGCGCGGTTCCGAGTATTTAAGGAACCGGCTCTCTAGGGCTTCGGTTCTCAAAAAAGTGGGCCCTATTGAAATAAAATAAAATAAAAAAATTTTACGTTTTAAGAAATGTAGAAACTTTTATATTTCGAAATTTAAGGACGCAAATTTACTCAAAGTTAAAACTCACAACAATGCCTAAAAAAGAAATAACATTATTCAGGAATTTTAAAATGGGCATGGTACCTCGTACTTATAACTATAGAAATTTATCGAATTAAATCTAACTGAACATATTATCGAAAATGTCTGAAATGGTGGTAAATTCGCCACATGTAGGGTAATTTTACCACCATTTAAGACCAGAGACATAACTATTATAAGAGAAAAGAATAAAAGTCAATCAATAACTATTATATGAAGATAAATATTTTTCGAGTCATCTATAATTATTATTCAAGGACTTATTTTATAAAAGTCCTTTTATAATAATATCAGAGAGATAAATATTTTTAAGTCTTCAAAGACTTATTTTAAAACAAATATTATAAAAGTTTTTTTCATAACAATTATCATTGAAATAAGTATTTTTAATCGTCTCAAAGATTTTTATTTTAAGACTTGTATTATAAAAGTCTTTTCATAATAATTATGAGCGCGAAAAAAAATTTTTAAGTCTTAAGTCGGGCCCAGTTGGGGCTTGGTTTGGGACCCGTTCGGGACTATATACAAAATTTTTTTGCACTAATAATTATTATCAAAAGACTTTTATAATATAAGTCTCAAAATAAAAGTCTTTGAAGACTTAAAAATATGTATCTCGCTGATAATTATTATGAAAAGACTTATAATTCTTACGAAAATTTTGATGACTTATTTAAATAAAACACCACCATGAAATAATTATTATTTTGGGTCTCTATTTCAGACATTTTCGATAATATGTGCGCCGGGTATTTAATGTTCGGCTTCGCCCGAATTTGGACTTCTTTACTTGTTTTTATTTCATCATAGGCAACAGTTGGCCGTTTTGGTCAGTATTATCATCGAATTCACTCCAGATCTGTATTAATTACCCGAGATAATTTCGTATCAAGGAGTTGATTCGGATCAATGCTGCCATATGTCTGTGATATAGATCAGAAAGGTTGGAGGATGACTAGCATTTAAATTAAATATTAAAATTCATTTAAGTACTAAGTTGCAAACATACCATTATAATTACGCCACGTATGCTGTCGTACTGTCCGTTGACAATGTCGATGGCAATTTCGATATCCCTGCGGACACAATCTCGCCAAAGTTTTACTTTCGATTCGTGTACAAAAGCAAAAAATTGGCAACACAATAAATGCATATAGAAATATGATAACTATTAAAGCAAAAATACTCATTTTCAAAAT